ACGAAACAACCTTGGGAATTACACGCAGTCACTGGGACACATTGAGTTCATCAGAAATCCTGTAATTGTGTAACTCTCTAGACTCGGAAAATTCCTATTAACTTCACAAACAAGACTAGCAAATAATGAATAATGCTCACCATATGAAATTCTCATGGTTTAAACATTTTTTGCACAATTTGAAGACCAAAAGTTATCATCAGGTTGTTAGGTCCTGAAACTCGGCCAACATTTAAGGCTCTGTTAAAGAGAAAGAATACAGGGCTGAGAATGTAGTCGGCGTAGAGTGTGCTCAGCATGTGCAAAGCTCTAGGCTCAATCCTTAGCATAAAACCAATCAAACTAAAAAAGATCACAAACTTATGAAAACAAAATGCCCCTATACAACCCCCACAAGGATACCCTATAGAAAAAGGAAAGCATGTGTTAGGGGGAGGGGCAGAGTAAATAGAGAAGGAAGTCTTACCAGTGATTAAAGTTTCTTCTACAAAATGTATAAATATGTGTAGCCATGGGAACACAGCGCTAGACCCTGCTCATGGCCTTGGAAAGGGCCCTGACACGCTTCTTCTGTGGCCCAGTAAGTCCACATTTCTTCCTTATTTGAAGAGGAGCAGCAGATAAGGGAGTATAGATTCCCTTGAGAAGTTTGTGGATAATGAATATGAGTTGTAGGGGCCAAGGGTGGCCATTAACATACATGTTGGCACTGAAAAATAAGAAGAATATGCACAGAGGGCAGCTGCTAACTGGGATAGATCATCGTCCATGTGTTTGGGACCTCCAGGTACTGGTCATTCCCTGCCAGTGCCTAGCTCTAACCACGGATGCTCTCCTAGGCCCCCAGCATGCTCAGGACACAACTGTACCTGATTTCCCTGAAAACCTGTTACTCTGAGCAGAGCTGAGTGGCCAGCATGACACATCCTGGGCTTCGTTATTAAAGAACATGGATTTGGCACATGGCAGGTATTACCAGGGTGATATGAGAACCAGAGAATCAATGAATATCAGTTTTGAAAGGGCTTTCATTATTACTTATCTGTTGTTGTATCACAGATTGCTCCAGAACTGAACAGCTAAACACAGTAAGCATTCACTACTGAGTTTCTGCAGGTCGGGTATCTGGGAATGCTTCAGTGGAGAAGTTCAGATTCGGGGTTTCTCATGAAATGAGGCTGCCGTCAAGCTGTTGGCAGGGTTGCAGTCATCTGAAGGCTTACCCAGGACTGGAGGATCTGCTTCCAGGATGGCTCATTTGGATGCTGTTGGCAGGAGGCCTCAGTACCTTGTCACATGGGCCTCCCCATAAGGACACATGCCTAAGTGTCCTCATAACACAGCAGCTGGCTTCCCTCAGAAAGAATGAGGTATGTGTGTGCACATGTGTGTATGTGTGTATGTTGAGAGAAAGAGAGACAGAGTCAGGGAGATAGAGGAAGAGAGAAACAGAGAGAAAACCCCAGTGTCTGCAGTGAGAAAAGGCATAGCATCACTTCTGCCCTACTGTTCTGTCACACAGCCAGTTCGGATATAGTGTGGAAGGGAATCCATATTCAGAGGCAGGGGTCATTAAGCACCCTTAAAAATCATGTCCAGTCCCCATGAAATCCTTAGAAACTAAGCATTTTTTGTAAAGAGACAAAGCATTTTCTGTAAAACAAAAAATATGCAATTGTTAGAGTAGTTTAAGCCTCCTGAGAAAACAGGAATTTAAATCCTATTTTATATTCTGAGTAATTAGAAATGGTTCTTCTCTAAACTTTATTTATATATTAAATGTTGCAACTGTAATGTGAATTTTGACAATGTTAATTATTTTTCACTTCTTGAAAAATTACAGTTTCTCTCCTCTTCTTTCAGGGAAAATTGGGTAATTAAAGATTTTATTTTTTTAATGAATCTTAATACTTTGGTTGTATGGTTTCCAGTTGATGTTTTTATAAAGCAAAAACAAATAGACAAAAGCTTTTTGTGGTTGTTTTCATAGTAGTTAGATATCTAATTGATTTTTTACAAAATCATCCTTCTCCCCTAACAGTTCAAATGTCTTTCTAATGCTATGTGTGGATTCCAACACATGGAAAAGGAGGCTCATGAAATCAGTATAGAAACTGTATTGTTAAAAAACAACAATGTCAGGGATGGTGGTGCACGCCTATAATCCCAGAACTCAGGAGGCTGAGACAAGAGGATCGTTGGGAGTTCAAGGCCAGACTGGGCTACAAAGTGAGCTCAAGGCCAGCCTGAACTGCATAGCAAGACCCTGTCTCAAAAACACAAAAAACAAAACAAAAAACAACAAGCATGCAAGACGTGTCTACTTCACATTTTCTTTGCTGATGAGTAAACTCATTTAGGTTAAGAAAAAAAACTTAAATGTAGCATCAAAATTAAATACATTTTATACAGTTCATTAATTGCCTTTATCAAAAAGAGTTAGATGTGAAATTAGAGATGTCTTGAAAGCAGAGACATAAGATTACGGAAATGTGGGACAGCATGTTACTTCTTTGATGGTGCTCCTAATAAGAATAGGAAGAGGAAACTGATCCAATTCCAAACTCCCCAAAAGTAGGTATTGTCCTGCATTTATCTTTGAAAGCCAGTGCCCAAGCAGACTATCAGGCGCAGAGAGATTACAAAGCATTTGCTGAATGAATGAGGAGGAAAACAGTAGATGTTTTGGGAAAATAATATAACTGCGAAGCCAGTTCGCACCATAATTCCCATTCTATCCTTCACCCAATCTCCCTACACACATATTCCCAATATCCTTTGACTTCAGAGTCCAAGGAAGACAATTCTTGGCATTGGTAAATCACCAGATTTCCTAACAGCTCCTGACTTGTCACCCAATCCCAACTGAATCCCTGTTCAAACTGATATTTTAAATTCTGGTCCATAATACTAAAGGAAAAAGAATTTGCCCAACTGTTTGTTTCAGGCATTTATTTCAACACCATCCCATAAATTTCTCTGTAGTATTCCCTCCCTCAGTGAAAGAATTAAGCATGGATTTTGCAGCTGGATGGCTTCTGTCTCCTGCCTTTTTGTCCAGCTGGAGAGCTACTTACAAGTTCTTTATCTTCTTTTAGTAACGGATCTTCTTCCAGGAATCTACACCCTTGCTGCTAAACTTCCCCACAAGTTCAAAGGAGCTCTCATCTCCCTGAGATCTGCCAGTTAACTTACCTCTGCTACATGGTATTGCATTTGATAATTTAACCTCTCTTGGAAGAGGGTTTTTCTCCATCTAGGGATAAAACAAGGTTTTATCAACCTGTCAAAACCCTGGACTTTGGCACTGCTTCCAAAGGGTGTTAAAACATTCCCAAAGAACAAACCCTCTTGAACTAAGGAATCACTGAGGGGAAAGGAATGCAAGCAGGTCTGACAGGATCCACAGCTTTCCTCTGATTTATTGCATCTTGCTTTATATGAACTAAATGCTCATTCCAGTGAGTTTAGTAAAGATGAGACACTCTCTATAGATCCAGGATTTCACCATATGCTATTGGGTCATACTTACTAAAACTCAGGTGTGCTCATCATTGAATTAATAACCTCATTATTCACTGGGTTTTGGAATGTTTATTCCAGCACGTACTGTAGGGCTCCAGTATTTTTTCTTTCCAGGCAGAGATTTTATTAGACATAATTATAGTTTCTGATAAGCTATTCTGAGTTTAAAGCACATTCTTTTTAAAAGTCTGAGATCTATATCTCCAAGGTAGCCCAGGATAAATCAAAACCACTAAAAATATAAGGACTATAGTTTGTCTTTCTGTTGTTGTTGTGAGAAAAGTAATGTTCCCAAATTATAGGAAGAATGAAAACAAAAAAAAGAAAAAAAAGAAAAATATAACAAATAATTCTAGACTATTTTTGGCATGATTCCTTTTGTCTTTTGTTTAATATAAAATTTTGAACTCTTTTTTATTTATCCTGCTCTCACAATTTGCTCCTTTTGTGCTACAAACTAAGTCTACTTCATAACTGTGGCTTTTAGAGGTGATTTTGACAGGGACAGGTTTTAGTGGACAAATTTAGGCTGGGAATTTAAAAACGAAAAGAATGAAGTCTAGATAATCACGAATTTTTCATTATATTCTTTTTCATCATCAAATTATTTTTCATAAGTATTTCAGAGTATCTCTTTTCTAAACAGTAATATAATATATTAAGCACATCTGAGGGGAAATTCTACACTTGTCTTAAAGTTTATTTTTTTCAACCAACCATCAATGACAGCTTTTCATTTTTTCTCAAATACTAAAGAATCTAGTCATATCAAGAATTTGCAGAATTTTGAGTTTTATAGGAAGCCAAGTAATTTGCACATGTTTGCCAAGTGTGAAAATGTATTGCCAGTACCAATACAAGGTGAGAAGGAGCTCATAAGAATCTAATGAATAATACAATACAGACAGCCCCTCACTGAAGTCCTCCCTGCACTCAGAATTCAAATGCACCTCCCACTGGCTCAGCTTTAAAGTATAATTAAGAAAAATAAGGGGGCTGGGGATTTAGCTCAGCAGCACAACACCTGCCTGACAAGCGCGAGGTCTTGAGTTTGATTCCCCATACCAGGAAAATAAATAAATAAAAAATAAGATGGTGGGTTGGAAGATTTGGAAATTAAGCAAAGATAAAAGGGGCAGTGTTGTATGTTCATATTTATTTTACATTTGATATCCTCCCATATTAGGGAGACAGAGAAAATATCCAAGAGTATGAAGGCAGTGTTTTTAATAAAACCTTGGCTGCTTTTCTGCAGAAATGGATGCAAGTAATTTTATCTCTTTGGGGGTCATTTTCAAAGCAAGAGGAAGAAACAAATTAATAGAATCCCATAAGGTATTTTGAAAATGCACTTTTTACATGCTTTAACTTAGGTGAGGAAAAAAGTTGGGTGAAAAGGCAGGATTCCAGTCAGATCTAATTCTGCTTCATGTTATTTTTAAGAATAGAGAAAGAAAGCAAGAAGGAAGGAGAGAAGAAAAGAAGGAAGGAAGACAAGAGGGAGGAACTCAAGTCTTATCCCCTATATCAGCATTTACAGTTGATTTTTCAAAAGGTACTAACATATTTCAATATTTTTTCAATTAGATTAACTGTACACATTTCTGCGGTTACAGGTTTCTTTAATGAGAGAGAAGAATTAGATCTGTACTTTCTGACATGACAGGGAAACAAGTCAGCATAGAGCGCCTGCTGTCAAGCTGGGCTGTCATTTGAGCTCCTGTGGAAGGAACTCCTTGGGAAAGGGTATGTTTTACACTCTTGCCCTCAGCAATTCAGCTGTGCTTCATTCCAATATGCATTTTTGCCTCATGTGTCATAATAACCAGCAAACCTTGCCCCCTGGAGAGGCACATGTGGAAGATCAGGCAGAGAATGTATTTGAACCACATTCCCTTCCATGATGGCTGTAAGGCAAGCTGTTATAGAAATGGAATCAGGGCACATCTAACCCATTATGGGTTTTCTCCTGAAGGCAGGATGTGGACCAGGCTTTCTGCAGGGGTCACTGAAGTTTGCAAAACTTTCTTTGTCCCTGGCTGATTGAAGGAGCCAGAGCCGGCTCATAGTTTGGAGTGAAAATCATATGAAACTTATTTGTAAAAAAAAAAAGAAAGAAAGAAAGAAAAGAAACTTATTTGTGCCATTTTTTAATTTTCTTTATTTAACTCCAAGTCAGACATGGAAGAGAGATTACCTCCAAGTCAGGATTTGGTTTACAAGCATACTGGAACTAGAACTCAATATGGGGTGAGAATCCAGGTGAACCGGAGAAAACATGAACTCTTTATGAACCAAAGCACCACAGAATACCCCTTTCCAAAGCCTGCAGGCTGCTAAGAAGCTCCCATAAACCCCAGCTGCTTTAAAAGGATTCGTTCCAAGCAGTCTACCAGTAGCTTGCGCCCACATGCATCAGATTCAGCTGTCTCTTAAATCCGCGAAGCGTTATCTCCTGACCACGCACATACTACTGTACAAACCATATTCAATCCAGATGCCACTTTGCCACTTCCTGGTTTCCCTTCTATTATAAGTACGGCTAGTTTACAACCAGGCAACTAGAAGACCTATATCTAGGCCTCTACTATTTTTGCTGCTCTCTCTCTCCCTCTCCCTTTTTCTCTCTCTCTACTAGGGATTGAACCCAGGTGTCATGCATGCTAGACAAGTGTTCTGCCACTGAGCTATAGCTTCAATCTTTTTTTTTTTTGTTTTACTTTGAGATGAAGTCTTGCTAAGTTGCCTGAGCTGGCCTTGGACTTGTGATCCTCCTGCCTCAGCCTCCTCAATAGCTGGCATTACAGGCATGTACTACCATGCTCAGCTATCTGAAATTTTCAGTATCCCACGATGTGTACTGTATCATGATTACAAAAGAACCTACCCTAGCATGGCCAGGGTCACACACAATTCTCAGTGGACCAGCTTGATCTCCACACCGTCCTCTCTCACAAAAGCAAATTAGGATGCAAGTGATGGTGATTGTTACAGGAATAAGCTTTACGTATTTTTACAAATAATTTGCAAACAGTGATACTTAACTTTTATAACCACAATTTACTTTTGACAGTTAATCAGACACACTGATATTTCAACCCTGATCCGTTCAAAGCACCACTCACTCCTATAAGTAACTCCATGAAAGTTGTTACCAGTTATATTGTGGGAAATGGTTTCTGCATCTATTTCCTCCTCAGGGACAATATCCAATTCTTGGTCATCTCTTTATATAAATCAGTGCCAAAGTTATTGCAGGAATACAAAAAGTCATGAAAACCAAGGAAAAGGCATATTCATACCTAGAAAATTTCTAGAACAATCCTCCAAAAACTGTTAACAGTGGTTGCTTGTAAGCGGAAAACCCTGGCACACTGAAGTGAGAAACTTGCTCTTCACTATTCATTTTTTACTAATTGAACTTTTGACTCAACATTTTGTATTTAGACGAGAACATTACAATAGGTATTTACTAAGTGAACAAATAAACAGGTAAATAAAGGAACATGAGAACTAATACCCAAATAGTTTTAGCTGTACGAACTTGCGTATTGGCTGTTCCTGAGCCCTAAGTTTTAAGTCCTCTTAATGACACTTGTCAAGTTGTGTGTCAGATCAAGAGAGCGCCAACACTCTGACTATCTCTGCATCCAGGCATTCTTGGCTGAGAAAAAGATAACTCTCACAGCAGCCAGATTTTATGGGTCTAGATTTGATTCATTCAGTGGGCATGGAAATACTCACTGTTTTTCTCAGAATTAGATGTTGAAGCTTGACTGCAAAGAGCAGCTGTAGTTACCTCTTTAAGATAAAACTCAACTCAAGATCAAGAAAAATAGTTATTCTTTAGAAAAAAAAAAATCTATCTCCAACCCCAGGGAGGCAGTTTATTGAAGTGAATCTAAGAGCACTGGGTTGGGAATCAGGCACAACTTTCAAACTACCCGGAACCTCAAAGTCAACAATTGCATATTAACTGGATACAATGGAGCTTACCTGAAAAGGTTGCCATTAGGCTGAAATTAACAAATGTATGTAAAATCCAAGCTGGGCAGAGTCGCGCACACCTGTAGTCCCCGTACTCGGGCGGCTGAGGCAGAAGGATCTCCACGAATTGGAGGCCAGCTTGGACTACCTAGAGAGTTTGGTGCCAACCTGAACTACAAAGCAAGATCCTGTCTCAAAAAAAAAAAGTATGTAAAATCCCTGGTGATGAAAAGGGGCTGAACAACGAGTGCTAAGTCATAGAGGTAAGAAGTTCTGTCAGTGCCCAGCAGGGTGACTACAGATAAAAATAATGTACTGCACAGTTCAGAAGGCTAAAAGAAAGAATTCCAAACGTTCTTACCATAAAGAAATGGTAACCATTTAAGTAAATATATTTAATTTGATTTAAACATATAAAAAATACAGATTTTATATATATATACACTCAGTAAAACCTTGGATTGTGAACAACTTGTTCTACAAATTTCTGCAAGATGAACAAACATTTTTAGTAAATTTTAACTTGGTAAAGGAGTAACGTCTTGGAATACAAACAGTATGTGACACCAAATGTCACGTGATCTCAACTGAGCCAATGGTTCTATCTTTCTTCCTCTCTCTCTCTCTCTCTCTGTCTTTCTCTCTCTCTCTCTCTGTCTCTCTCTCTGCCTCTCCCTTCCCCCCGACCTTCCCCCCACTCTTTCTCTCCCTCCCTCTACAGGATTGGGGTTGATCATCTTCCAACAGCAAGTGCTAATGGAGGAGGTGTCGTCTGCAGAGGAGGAAAAAAAGGCAGAGCAATCCCTCACTTCAAATGAGATTAGGGAGATGTGTAAAATGTGGGGAAGAGTGCAAAATTTTGTAGAAAAGCACCACCCAAATGAGGCTGTAGCAGTGGGAACAATGAATCTGTTTAACAATAATGCCATGTCACGTTTCTGCAAAATCCTCAAAAGGAGACAAGAACAAGTGTCGTTGAATAGGTTCCTTGTTAGAGCTCTGCACAAAAAATATAGTCCATCAAGCTAATAGACAGCAGTGATTCTGAGAATCATCCTACATGATAACCTTCCTCTCTTCTGTCTCCCTCTCACCAGCCACAAAGGTTTTCAGAGGAAAGTGCACTTTATTTATTTTTCTTTATATTTTATATTTTCTTTATTACTTTGTATTATGTTACAATATTATAATCATTTTTATAGGAATAGTTTTGCGTTGTCAAACAAATCATTTGAGTTTCCATTATTTGTTATGGGGAAATTCACTCTGATATACAAGTGCTTTGGATTACAAGCATGTTTCTAGAACAAATTTATACATATATATAACATATATATACATATTTATATATATTTATATATATAAAATGGTACCCTATACATGATTTTTATGCTCTTATGTATGTTAAAATAAATTTAAATTATTCATTTACTTTAATAATTATTTTTATTTTTAACTTTTAAAAGAGCAGGTTACAAGAAATTTTTTTAAATCTCTGGAACCTATTACTCAAAAAGTAGTTGCTATTATTTTTACTATAAAATAGTATTATGGCTTCTTTTAATACTGGTCTTTTCCTAAAACAAGCTCTGTGGCTTTCTTAAAATGTGTAACTACACTGTGAGCTTAAGAAAGCTTTGGTCCCTCCTGTAATGAATGTACTCTGAGAATGATGTTTTTCACGTTACTTCTTTTTCCTACAGTGCAAAGATTAGCAGTGACTCACCATATCATCCGTCTGCCTTGTATAATTCTCACTCGGTCATCTTTGCTATCATCACTCTATCCAAACAGGTCAAGTTTGATAACGCCCGGTGTCGGCTGGGAGTTTATTAACCCTATCTTTCGAAGGGTGTTAGAAAGACACAAGCAGTACAGACTTCACAGCAACCTACTATGCCAAAAGGAGGTGAGTTTTATGTTTCTTGTTTTTGACTGGGGGTGGAAGTAGAAACCAATTTTTAGGACCACAGTTCCCAAATTCCAGAATGTTTGCCAAGAGATATGAGCTGTCTGATAGCTTGTCTGTCTGTTCCCTTTGCCCAAGACATCTGATGACTTGCTGGGCCGCCAGGGGCCCTGCCTTTCCCAGCGTGGAAGTGTGTGGCTCCTTCCACATTCCCTGCCCCTACGATGCCGAGAAGCAGAAACAAGGGCTGGGAGTGTTAGCCGTCCCTGAGTAAGGGGCAGCTTAGAGGGCCTGCACTGTGTTTGAGGTACTGAAAGCAGCTCGCTATTCTGCAGGCATGAATTAGAGCCCGGGCAGAAAGCGCTGCGCTCTTGCCCCGCGATGTCTTGCTGCTGCTAGGGGGGGAGAACTGTGGGCCACATTCCAAGAATTGTCCCTCGAGGGCCTGGAAGAAGGTGGCAGTATTTGTTTTCTAAGTTCATCATGCCCTCAGATTGCATTGGTGTATTATCCCTCCTCCGTGCTCTCCACCTCACCTGTTGTGCTATGCCTCGTTGCATCAGTTCTGCTCAAGTATGATTATATTCTCACTTCTTCAATTTATCATCCCTTAAAACTTTCTACTTCACATACGTTATTAGTAAATAAAGATCTAAATTAGAAATGATTATCCTCACTATCTAGTTGTCACTCTGACAATATTCCCTGGAGGTTTAGCACGCTAGATTTAGCAGATTTGCTGAAAGAATGAAGATGGTCTGTTTTTATAGACCTTTCTTAGGTTCGAGGACTCTGAAATGACTGAGACTCTCAGTCTATGGAATGACTGCCTCTTCTCTCCATGCACTGAAAATCAGTTCTCCATGCTTCGTCATTGGCATAAATTCAAGACAAGTAGATTTAACTGTGTAAAAGTTCTCAAGTTCAGAGATGACTATAAAGACCTACAAAACCATCCACTACACTTCAAAGTTGACCGACACTGGTTTTTAAAGTGATTCTGATTTCTCTGGCAATGGAGATGTGTTAAAATCAATACCACGCAGCTCCAGGACTAGGATGTCAAGATGACTTTTCAACAGTCACAAAATGAAAACACCAAACAAACCGCCTGGCAGGAAGTAGCAACCAACAAGATTTGCAGAGAGCCTTTTGGAGAAAGTTTTAAAAGGACTCAACATGCACAAATCAACCCTCCCACCTCACTCTTCCTCTTTCCCCAATTACACCCCAAAGGTGGAATTTATGTTTTGGAGGAACAAAAGGCACCCAGCGCAGGAGATTTCTAAGCTGTAACCTACCACATTCTCTTAGCAGGGTGATTCAGTCATTCCTGCTGCCCCACAACTGTCCCTTTTCCACTCTGAGCCTGGGGTATCAAAGATACCAAAGACCCTGATACTGTCCTTGTACTGACTTCTATACCATGCCTCCACCTCACAGAGCTGTGTAGCGGTGGCAGGGAAGAATGCAAGAATTTCTCTAAGCCACTTTTCTGGTTCAAGCAAAAGGTAAAGGAAATGAAGGAATTCACCAGACTATGATGCTTCGCTAGGACATGTGCCCACAAGTAGGCTATCATTATTTAAGGATAATTAAGAACCTTGCAGGCCTCCAGTCATATTTCCTGTCACAAGGACAAGATGACATACTGAGAACTCATCAGGCTTCCCTGCGCTGGTAATGAAAGTCAAGAAGGCATCATGTGAAACCCCATATATACGATTGTACACTGGCAAAAACGAACATGAAAAATACTACAGTATTCAAATTATTTTTAAAAGAAACAGAATTAGGGGAATATAGAAATTTTTCATTCATGGATTCACAAAAAACATTTTAAAATACATAACGCAAGGTATCTATGCTGTTAAATAAATGAATGGCTTCTGTAACTCTTTGCTTCTGCTCTTAAACACATGCACGTAAGTGGCTCCGTAGTTCAGAGTACCTCTGACAATCCACCTCAATCACAGATTTTATTCTCTCTCTCTTTTCTTACTCACTGCAAGAAAAAATAGTACCAAGCCTGGGGCAGGAAGTGGGGGGTGGTGAGACTCGTCTGTCTGCTTCCAAACTAAGAGGTAATGATTCTTTTCACAGAGAGTATTTTTAAAAAATGATGTACAATTAAAAAGGTCACCTCTTTCTCATTTTTTTACTCTACCTAGGAGTTAATGCCAAAGGCATTAAATCTGATGGCAATGACGTTTATTATTTTGTAATATTCTCTACACAATCAATAATTTGTTAGTTGGGACTTGGATGGTCCCTACCTGTTTTTTATTGGTATATTTTAAATATGCATAGTAATAACATTCAACATAGGAAATGTGTACCTGTACATCGTATATCTTCATTGTTTTTTTCCCTCCTCTACTTTGATGGAATTCACTTGATGGAGAGGGGAACATATATATATATATATATATTTTGCTGGCTGGCTAGATGTGTGATTAATTACAGTGACTCACAATTTCCATTCTGGCTTTGCATCTTACCCTGGTAGCCCCAGGAAAATAGTTTAAATGTCTTTATACCTTGGCTTTCTCATCTGTAAAATAGAACTAAGAATACCGGTCTTCCTCAGTTATTCAGTGGGAATTAATGTTTGAAGTTTTCTAATGAAAGACTCTGAGTGTGCCGAGGGCTATTATACAAACAATAAAGCTGTATTTGTACACAGCTGGGCATGATTCACAAGAGCAAAGAAAAATTCCATTAAACTCCACATCCTGCCAAGACCAGGAAGTTTATCTGTCTACCCTTTGAAGGTGTATAGTCAAATACTGTGTTCAACAGAAATATAATATAAGCTACCTATGTCATTTTAAAGCTTCACGTTGCCAAAGCTTAAAAGTAAAAAGGAACAGGTAAATTTTTCTTAATAACGTTGATTTTGCTTAATATATTCAAAATATTACCTCAACATATAATTAAGTATTAGTGAGTTATTTTATAATTTTTTTTTGAAATATAATCACAATATGTATTCTAATCTGACCTAAAGAACAATCCTCCTGCCTTGGCCTCCTGAGTGCTGGGATTACAGGCATGTGCCACCTTGTCTGGCTGTAATTTTACCTTTTTAAGCTGTCTTTGAAACCTAGTGAATATTTTATACTCACAGCACATGTTTCAAATGTATATCAGGTATGTGGCCAGTGGCTCTCATACTGGAAAGCAGCAGTCTAAGGGCTATCAGTGCTGTCCATTAGTGACTCTGTTTGCTCTTAGGTGGATGGTTTGGTAGAGTCAAATGTGTTTCACTTTCGTCCTCTGCTGTGTTGGGCATCCAAGATGATGACCATACAACATCCTTGCTTCTAGCAGCACTCAGAAGACCAGCAAGACGATAATAGAAGATTCTCTAGAGCAGTGGAAAACCTATGGCACAGGTGCCTCGGTGGGTTGTTTGTATCATTGAAAGCTCTGAAACGTTTGTCACCACTGCTCTAGAGGGAAAAAGGAGTAAGTCTTCACCATTTGTCCCATCCTCACAGCGGGATGTCTGAGATGCTCCTGGAAAGTCTCGTCTGTGTTTCCTACCATGACGCCCAGAACAGACTCGGCATCCCACAAAAAATACACCAATCACAGCTCACATCTGAGACTCCACTTCAGAGCATTCAGTCAACTTTGATTGTCACTGAAGTTCATGAACAGTTGAAGTACAATCAACAAAATTCTTTTTGTTTTGTTTTGTTCCATTTCATTTCTTTGTGAGGTAACTGCCATTGCTGAATTTCTTTATGCTTTGTTGTTGTTGTGTGGTTGATTGGTTGTGTTTGTTCATGGTTTTTTGCTGTTGAGTGTGTATGCGTTTTGTTGCAGCTTATTGATTTGTTGTGTTTTACATTAATTGGTTAGTGCTGGTTGTACTTGTGTTTGTGTGTGTTTTTCACTAGAATTGCCTCGAATTATTAAGGAAAGGAACTATCACTGAATTTTATCCTTCATACTCATTTGCTAGACAAATCCTAACTGAAAAATAAGGGTTCTTTTCAGAATCAATTTGAAAGCGCCACGCCACAACATAATTGTCCATAATGACTTGTACAGTACAAATGCTCAAGGAAAAGTGTGATACACATGGAGACATGCTTATTATTTCATCTTCCCACTGATCTTTGATAATCTCTTTCCTTTTTGTTAATTTCAGTTCCATATTGAAAATATTTTGTTTGTTTTTACCTTAACCCCAGCCACAAATTTGCCCTAGAATTTGTGCATTCTCCTGCTCTAAACTCATTATCCATGCCCTTCCTCACTAATTTCTGGCAGGATCTTGAATCTTTCCTACCTGGCCTCAGGGCATCAGATAATTATTGAGCATCTACATGGGTGAAACCTTATGCAGGGCACCATAGAAAATGCTAACATAAGTATGACAAAGGACCTGCCCACAATATGTCTATATCTGGGAGAAGTAGTAACAACATATACTAATAAAGTGAAAGAAGGACCAACCTAAAGAGGAAATACAAAGACTCCTCTATACATTTGTGTATTAATCAATTCAGATTGTCATAATAAAATATTATAGACCAGGTGATTTGAAAAATAGCAATTGATTTTGTCATCATTCTGAAGGCTACAAGTCCTAGATCGAGATCCTACAAGGGCAGTTTCTGGCAAAGGATCTCTTCCTAGATTGTTGATGGCCACTTGTCACTGTGTGCTCACATGGCCTTTCCTTAACATATATACCTGGAAAAAGAATCCTGTCACTTCTTATACAGACATTAATCCCACCACACCAGAGCCTACCTTCAAGACCTCATCTAACTCTAATTAAACTACCAAAGGCCCCATCTGGGGTTAGGCCTTCAACATATGAATGGCAAAGGGACACATGTATTGAGTCCATCACAGATAATCTGGAAGTAAAGAGACCCTACTCAGTTGAGTTATTAGCAAAGCTTTTATGGTAGAGATTGCACCTGATATAACCATGAAGGTGTCTTTCTCTGTGGGTACTAATTGAAGTCACTCATCAA